ATCCACAATTGAATACTCTAAAACATACCACGGAGTAGAGTTCGGCTGTTTCCGGAACCTGGTGCTAAATTTGGGGTTACATATATAATGGGTCTTCAATCTTAATGACGAAACAACCTAATCAATCCAAATCAACTCGCATCAACTCGGCTATATATTGGGACTTGTGTCAATTTGTTTCGGAGTATGTCAAACGACTTCATAATCTTGAGCAAAACAGACTCGCCAGCGCCAGCGCCAGCGCCGAGCGAAGTGGAATATCATTATATCTGACAGGCTAACGGCGCATACAAAATAAAGCAAAAAAAGGACGATAGCAAGTAAAACCAGGTCACCACCTTGTCTCGTCCATGCTACCCTCATTCCTTCTGAGGAACGGCTTGAGCTTGTTGTACAAAGCTCGCCTTGCCTGTCGTTTCGTTGTAAATATTATACCCATAGTCAGCAGCATTGGGCGGGGTATATACTAAAAACATTCATCAGTACTCGATTCCCATTTTGATGATGTATCCAGAACTTACAGTGAAGTGAGACAGCGACCTGGTCACTGCTCGGGTTATGAACGCGATGTAGCCCGATATCATCCGAGATATAAGCAACGTCATTCATGGTATGTCTCGTATCAGACTTGATCTCCAACGGACCATGAAGATCAGAGCCCTGATCGGGGATGTTGTAGATGGTCTCTTGCAGCGTGCCAGCTAAGACCTTCATGATGCAGTGTGCATTGGCGTGGTCGTGGACAGGGGAGCCTTTCCCGGGATTCCATACGAGGAGGAGCTGGGAATGGGTTAATCTTAAGCTCCTATGTTGGCAGAATTTGGCTAGGATTGGAATGAAAACTCACGATATTTGCTTTTTGGTTGATGTTTTCGATAGCATTGCGAGTGTAGTTCTTGCTGGTGTCGTTGTAGAAATAGCGGGCCCAGTCGTTCGGATCAGAGATGTACTTCTGTGCCAGCGAGATCAGGTATTCGTTGTCCACGTCTGCCGAGGAAATGCCACCGCTCTCGCCTAGGTAGCTCTTAATATCTTGTACGAGATCATCTAGACTGTACTGGGGGTTGTAGTGCTTGTTGCCTAGTGATCGGCTGGTGCCAAGTGGCAGTAAGGGAACGACAGCAGGCATTGTGGCGGATGGTAAACTTGGGAGATGTTAGAAGGAGATATTCTTGGAAGATAATGAGAGCTTCTAAAGGGGATCCACGGATGAATTATATCTCGGGAATCAATTCGTATCTGTTTCCCCTGGATTCTCCCCCGTGCGAGCTCAATCACAAGAATGGGATCTCAATCGCCGATTGATCCAATGCCTTGCGTTCCAGCGCCCCAGACCGATTACAGTCTCGCCTGATAGTACCAAGACTCAAGAGGCCTGAACATGTACTTATCGACGAGTAATGCACGTATGTTGTATGTTAAACCAAAAAAGGGAGAAGGTGGTGAGAATGTTAGAATCTGGAAAAATCCGGCTCTGTTCACATTACGACCGTTAGTATTCACCTACAAGAATTGAGTACAACTTGGGGTAATCTAACATTTTTTTCACGTATTTTCACACTGGCCTTTCTAATTTTCGAATAAATTTCTTTAATCCCTCTCAATGTTCAAATTCCGATCCAAAAAGCCGTTGAGAGGATAAAATCAACGTATAACGCCATAACCAGAACATCAAACGCAATAATGCAGCTGCGGTTCAACCACCTGGTACCCGTGGACTCTCGTGTGATTCATGATGTAAGAGTTACTAGCACTAGTAGTTCAGCAGATGTATATACTAGTGCGAGGTTGTAGATCAACACATCGGCGAACAAATTAAGCATGAAGCAGATCCCTATGTCATTACCCGCCAACGTAAACACACAGACGGCTGTCACGGTTATCACGGTTATCACCGGATATTCGATCGAGATATAATGAAGGAAATAGTCGGTGAGTATTCCAGCCTTATCTCCCGATGTATAGTTTGGATGAGAAGCACATGGGTTTATACTCGCAAGGGGTTCTACTCCGTACTATCGGACTTCTTACTATAGAGCGAACACGAACTTTTTTCGGGTTTAGCACCGGACAGAATATTTAATACATTTAATTCATACCCCTTGCAACACTGGTGCTACTTCGAGAAATCTGTCCTTTATCTTCACAAGAAATGCCCATTGTGGCACAAGATGTTGATGCGATGCGTGGCTGAATGAAACACCGGGAGAGTCCAGCGGGCCAATCAAAGGTCGGATCGACGGCTCCGTCGGCGATTCAAAAAAGAAAATACGCAATCGGCGTTTGACATATCTGCGACATCCTCTAAGAATGCATGTTTGGACCCCTATCATTGTTGCATATCGTTGGCATTTACTTATTGAGGCCTGAGACCTAATAATAAATAGCTTGCTGCATGACGAGTCCAGCTGATATTTACCCCAAAAACCATTACCTAAAAATGACATCGAGCGTACTAAGTCCTTTGTTTTTTTTTCTTTGCAAAATATATTGAATTACTACAATCGCTCCCGGGTATAACCGATCTAATTTATATCAAAGTCAGGAATAGCGCTGAAAAACGAAGCATTGTAACAGGTTGGATCGATGAATTGCGGGGAGAACTCCGGCGGCATGAAATCATGCCCGTCTGGCATAATTGGGGCGGGATTGACATTGGAGCTGTGTCCTTCTTGGTCACTAGGTGTTGTGGCCGCCGGGGTGAATCGATGTAGTGGTTCCGCATTCCATTTTTCCATCGAATCCGACAAGACTTCCGCTGCAGAGGACCGGATAGCATGGTATAGGGACTCGGCCAGTTTCCATGTCCGCTGGGTGCTCTTGAGACATCCTAGAATGAGTGTGACACGGTTGCAGTGATGGTCGAAACATTCCTCGGAATGACTGGTGGACGTGGCGAGCTGGATGAGCCCACAGAGGGTCAAGGCGGGGATGATGAAGGGGGTGTGCTTGGAGATGTTTGGACAAACAGATATGGAATCTGAGATTCGCCTCGAAGCCTCTGTTGCTTTGATGCTATGAACTAGACGGGTGAATGTTGAAGAGAGCTGGCCAGTTAGACCAGGCCAGAAGCGATCATCTGGTTGGGACTGGGACAATACAGATGGAAGGTCGCTTCGGGGTAAGTGGAGGAGCATGGCGGCGTAAGCTATCGTCAAATGCGCTTGAAACATCATTTCGTCAACGTTGCCGTATGAATCAACAATGTCGAGCTTTTTGGGCGGTAGGTGGTTGATCCAGCTCACTAGTGCATTTTCCACAGCTTGGAGGTGATCGCGATGACAGTCGCGTAGTCGGTTCAGGACAAGAACCCGACATAATATTGTTGTGGCCTCAATGCGGTAGCTGAATGACGAAAATACAGTATCCTCTGCCGCGAGTATCCTCCGCTTGAACTCTATCATCATACGTGGTTTTGGAATATCACCCGCACAATTATACGTTGACTCTTCACAGGGCAAGGCCACCTCCGGCGACACTGTGCTACACCGAAATGTGGTGGTTTTAAGCGGGACTGCCATGAAGATATCGGTGACATAGAGTTCCCACCATGTTCGTCTCATGCTTTCGGCTTCAAGAGATCTTTCGGGGTTCGTGGATGAAGCGAATGACCAACGGTTCATGCCAAGCTCCAAAGCAATATCAATGCTATGAGAGAGGGCATCTTGTGCCTCAGCCCATTCATCGCGAGCATACAGGGCAATGGAATATAGCAGCCAAGCCTGGACCATGGAAGCCGACCGATCAGGGTTTGTCTTCAGCTCAGCAACGACTTGTTCCTTGTATGGCTGGCTCGGAATAGACGCAATATAATGAGACCCCACAAAATGCACAGCTAGCTGTAAGAAATGAGGGTAATTGTGGTCATGATACAAGGAGCTGGGTACCAAGATCGGATGGGCGACATGGAAATTTTCATAGTACAGCCGAGGTAGGCGCTCATCATGAAGCGACAGTTTGCTTGCTGGTTCCACGGTTTGCTGAACAGGAGTATTTCCCGAAAGCATCACCGGCCAAGAGACCGGCTCAGTGGGAATATCGAGTTCTGTCTGTCTGCCTGCCTGCGTCGGAGGATTTTCTGGTGTAGTCTGTGCAGGGGCTATTGGCAGAACAGGGACCGTAGATTGATATCGGGTCTAGAATTAATTTAGTAAAGAACTACAAATAATAATAAGGAGAACTGACATTGACATGGGGTTGCGGGTGGCGTTGATATGGACTCTCAAGTCGTGATTTCCGGCGTCCGCCCCGTCGGGAGGGTAGATATTGACAGAGTAATCCATTTTGGACACATCGTGAACATGATGGTTTACTAGCGTCACATTTGAGATGCTGTTTTCTGCACTCGGTACAAGCCAGTGAGGCTAGACCAGTTGTTTTTGTTGATCTTGCCGGAGTCATGCTAAGAAATGATAGAATGCAAGGTTGACGTTTCAATCCCCGGGGGCTATCGGCGTTTGGCGGGCGGTCGGCTGAGGCATTCCGACAAGTTCCAGATCAAAGGGAAAAAATCTGATAGATTGATTTGAAGTGCTTATTTAAGTAGTAGAACTGTCCACTTCACCCAAAGATAACATAGAACAGATAGAAATATGGACAGACCGTCAAGTGTATAGAATCACTTGCGGAGGATCGCTTGAGGTCACCCCGGGGCCCCCGGGGTCCTGGGGCGATAATTACATAAGCTAGATGACTGAGCACAAAAGCTCCCCATCCAGGACCAACCTTCACGACACGCACCCAAACGCCATCTCTAGAGGACTGAATGTTCAAATCTTCTGGAGCACCTGACCCTTAATGTGTACGGTTTCATTCAATGCCAAATTTTGAGTTACCCAAGATATGCGGGTGTGCGTTGTCTCTACCTGTCATTGTAAAGGTTTCAGGATCGTTGATAATTCAAAGGTAACGAAATATAATGTCATCTCCTCGCTTCCTCCGCCAATAATTCGTAGACTCTAATAACTGCGGTTCTCCCCTTATTACCCACGGCCATTTCTTTAAGAATTCCTCCGTAATCTCCCAACTCTTCGGATCCGAAGGCTCCCCCAAACCAGCAAGCTGCAGCTCTTCGTCGAGATATCCCAGAACCCCATGACATCGACACATAATTGACCATCGTCGAGCTCATCACGGGCAGAAATGAGGTTGTCACGCATTTTGCGAAATGGGAAAAAATCCAGCCAAGGGTGATGGGGAATCTCGCATTGTATTTGCGTTGGCCGGAGACTGTCCGGTAGCTTTTTGTCGTTGATCTGCTCTGGTGTCCAGGTATTGAACGGAGAAGTTATGTTTCGCGATTTCCAATCGCGGTGAGGTGTTATTCCAAGAATGGAAAGATTTTGGATAAACGCGCGGTAAACATTTAACTTGGCGAGTATTATTAAGTGGTCCCCTGTTGGGGATCCTTGCGCATAACTGTCGAATGAGGATGTGCTAAATTCCTCCAGAAGGCTTTGGGCTTCATCGGCTGACAGCCACCTTTTAGGGCGTTTTGTTTTGTTTTTGGTCTTGGGTGCGGAGAGACCACCTTTGGTAACTTGACTACTTTGATCAAGCTTTCGTTTCCCTGCTCTCGGGTTAGCTTATTGTCTATTGCGTAAGAATTGTCCACTAAGAGGATTAGAATGACACATACGATGGGCCCTCTGATTCAACCTATTCTGCAGCTTTCTCCGCACTTTGGGATCAGTTATCCCCGACCAGTCACAATCCTGTCCGAGCTCGAAAGAGCGGTTGTCGATGACAGGCGGAGAAGTAGAATACGAGGAATCACGCTGCATGCTAGGCAATCATTAAACTGGTAGTTGACCTATGGCACTGAGAAGATCAGCTTAAGTCCGTCGGGAAAACGATGGAGACAAGCAGATGGCTGACCTCTTTGTATAACCGTCTTGGCATTTTGACAAATTCCATGAATACCTTAAAATAATGCTGCCTGCCCTTCCAAGCCATTGAAGATTGCGTGACTTGTCTGGGCATGGCAATAATCTGCGAAAGATTGAGCCAACAATACCTTTGGCCCACATAAGAGATTGGGCCAGTTGAGCGTTTTGCCAATCATGGGAGGTTATGATTCATGCCATGCCAATTCATTGCCAGTAATTTGGATGTGGGCATTCGATATGGTAGAGAATTGGTAGGAAGTCCGATGGATCACTTCTAATTTTCGGCCGAAACCTTTATATCAGTCTACAACTGGAATCTTGATCAATACCAACGATGTTCTGATATTCGTGCATTGAAGCTCATGTGGGTCTTCATCGGCCGAAGGAATGTCTTGGCCAAAAATTAAAAATACTGATACTGAAAATGCAAGGATCATATAGTCAAAAGGGCTAGAGGAGCCTATCAACAACTCCTAACACATTTACCACTCTTCCACTTGGTCCTAACTTTCATTCCGACAACTCTTCGAAGAAAGCAAAACGGAGAGATTATCATGCTATATTCCCTGCTTTTCATACTGGTATCATTTCTTAGCCAGTCTTCCACTCTTGCTGCAGTTATCCCAACCCCAAACCACTTCTTCAATGGACTTCAAACGGCGGGAGATGTATCGAGCTCTGTTACCTCGTTTCATAAAACCATATCCCCGAACTGCGCCTCTTATCTGAACGAGCTGAAAACTCAGTATAACACCATATTCGATGGTGACTACAGTTCCAAGTTTGATGATATCTTCGGCCTTTGCTACAACATAAACAACGAGGCACGCTCGAAGAATGGCGAAGGATTCGACCCATCATACCTGGACAAATTTGACAAGGTCAGGGAGAATTGTTGTCTAGATTTCATGCAACACGGGGAAGGAGGTGGCGCTATGGCAGATCCTTTGGAGAATTTGAAACTGCCTTGGAAATATCTCTTCTTTTTGGCATCCTTTTCTTGTTTACTAGTAGTTTTCAAAGCTGCATGGAAGCAGAACCTGTGCAAATCATGCCTGGAGAATGTTCTTCAAAATGCCGACAGCCCCATATTTGTGATCTATCATGCCACATGACTAGCTTTAATCAATGCGACCATTGAGAGACTCAAAAAGTTTACCCAACGGCCTTTTATCTGAGGAAGAAATAGTGCAAGTCGAAGGATTGGGGATTTAGTGCGTGGTGACTAAGCTACAACCTTGGCCCACGGGTCCAATGTCTAATTTGAAGCCGAACCCTTCGCCACGCTGGTAGCCGTGACATTTTTTTCCTCCGCAATACAGACTCAGTCAATGTCTTTTCGAAAAAGACCCGTAACAGCATGTACAGAATGTCGGCGCAGGAAACAAAAGGTTTACTCCGATCAAACACGATATATATGCGGTAGTTGCTAACGTGCAAGTAGTGTGATCGTGAACGACCATGCAATCATTGCATTGGAAGGAATGTTCCAACAATGTGTAATTATGATTATCCAAGTGCTGGGGAAGTGACTCCTGGGGGCCATATAGCTGTATTGCAAAGCCCCCCGGCTTCAACAATCGGTGATCAGTCTTCGGCACTTGATACAGGTAGAGATTACCGGTTGAGGGACCAGGTCGGATATGCTTACACTGGTGACGACAACTATATGTCAAAAGTGCACGAGGTCGGCTTTTTTTGTTTTATGACTTGATATTCAAAGGCTAACAGTATTAGGAGCAGATGGTCGAAACCGACAGACAATTTCGGCCTGGTAACTTCCAACGCATCATTCCTCTCCCTGAGGCTGCAAGGCAAGAACTCGGCAATATTTGCGCCAGGTTACCACATCGACTAATCATGCGAGAACTTGTCAATATTTTTTTTACTGAAGCCAATTGGTACTTTGCTATACTGGAACAACATTATTTTGAGAAACTTTACAATTCTTGGTGTTCCCTCAACGATTCCCCGGCAGAACATGGCCAGGTTGCCGATATACCACCGGATCTTTTGCATTTCTCGGCACTGATATTCCACGTCCTTGCTGTGTCTTTACAGTTCGTGTCACCGGACATGAATTGTAGCCGTGCCCTAGGAGTGGATAGTTTCAACGCGCGTGATCATCTTTCTAGCAATTTCTCCTCAAGCGGAGTTGAGATCGCGCGCATACTGGAACCTCTGGATCCTACGATAACTGCCGTGCAAAACGACCTTATGCGGGCATTGTGGTTGAAGAATTGCAGCCGTGGAAGAGAAGCATGGCATGCACTAGGTGGTGCAATCAGGTCAGTCCCTGCATATTCCAAAAAGGAAGGCGATTTTCTCACCCCAACCAGAACAGCTCAAGATCTTGGCTTCCATCAGCAGAGCAAAGTTTATCAAACACCACGATCTACACTGGAGGAAACGCTCACCGAGCTGTGGTATGATGAGTACAAACGCAGGCTATGGATCAAGTTATTCTCCTGGGACAGGTAAGGCTTCTCTTTTTCTTCTCTAGACCTATCCTAATAAGAGCAGCCACATGGCCTTTTCTCTAGGTCGGCCACGCGCCATCAATGTCAGTGACTGTACAATCACTCCGCCGTTGGATTGTGATATACCAGCCGACCCGTCAACCAGGATACCAATGACTTTAGCTCCGCATGAGCCTCCCTCATCTTTTACGCCTCATCTTTTCCAATACGCCATCTCTCAACATGCTCACGAGGTGATGTCTTTGGGTGCCCACAAGAAGAATTTCATAGATTACGCCTTGATCCAAGGCACCCATGATAAGATTCTGTCTCTATTGAGCAATCTTCCACCTGTTCACCGACCGATAAATCCGGATACGTCCTGGGATGCAAGTTACCCCCATATACCCAAACAACGTCAGCAAATATCGACCGCCGCGAACTCATTTCTAATGGCATTACATACACCACATGCCAGAACACATGCTGCTAGTCGACACGCAGCAACCCAAGCGGCTCTTGCCACGTTGGATGCACAAGAACAGCTTTTTGATCTCATGGCCACCAATTACTCTAGCATCTATGCTCTCTGCATTTACACTCTTGGGGCCGGTATATTTCTGTCTGTCACAATTCTAGAATATCCACCTGCAGATATGGGTATACTAAATGGGATGCTTCGTGCAATCCGGAAGGCAATTCATCGCCTTGAACTGGCACAGGAGAGAGTCTCTTTAGCAGGGCCGGGCTCAAGACTCTTGAAACTTTGCTACCAGAAAATGCAAGCATCGGCGCAGGATCGGTCCAGTTTGCAAGGCGCTGCTGCGTATGGGGCAAACCCCGTTGCTGCTGCTTCGTTCATGCACGCGCCCTTTTCCGGCGGGACACACATCGCAGAATCTCCTGATCAGCCTTCGGAGATCCTTGCATATGATTCTGGGTCTGGCATTTCATTGTCTGATGGTCTTCCGTTTGATAGCACGGTGATGTTTGAAGATATCACTCAGCCTCACTTCAACATGGAAGCATGGGTACGGGAATTAGACCAGACCAATGGCTTAGGATGGTCCTCGCTCCCATAAGAGTCTTGTATCGTTCATCCTGACAGAAAGCATTGGCTTCGCACAGGCTTTCTCAAGACTTAATCGCGGCTTGACAAGCATTTGGCTAGAGCTTTGCGTGTTGACCAGTAATATGTCGATACTGGATGTCTACATGGTCCCTCACACTTGCGCCTCATATGGTGGCTACATCATGAGGTGACACGACCTTACCCGTAAGGTCAAAGCACTCTAGATGGACCGCATCGACAGCGCGTTCTGTTATTTCTCCACGAGAACCACTCGGTATTGCTTGTTGGATCCACAAAGAAATTGCTTTTATGTCGCCGAACTATTTTCTTTTTTTTAATGGGCCAAACCAGGCGGCCCACTGCCATAGGCTGGTTCTTTCTTTGGGTTTTAACAACCTGCCAATCTAATCATCTGTCACTGTGGCTTTGACACGTTGGAAATGAGACTGCTTATATCAGACATTATGACAGATGACTCGGGTTTCCTTTGGCTTTTCATAGAAAAGAAAATAGAGACCATGACACCCTGGTGTCTCGAGCTATTGGGTGCCCGCGCATTATTTTCAACCCTGTATAAATAGCATAGTTAGCACTATTCACCATCCTTGATTGCTGTCTTGCCTAACTCACCAGGCTTACCAACAGTCGTAGTGCCAAGGATCATATTCACAGCTGCTCTTGGCATATTTCTATCCTTGCTTTAGTGACAATGGGCCAAAGGGGTAATACAAAGCTTTTCTGAACAATATGACGACCTGAAAACATAATCACTGCATGTAAAAAAAAAAAAAAAACCTGCTAAGGAGCGCAAGCAATGTTATGAATCATGTCAACAAAACATACATTTACCGACAAACGTAAGCATAGATCGGCCGATCGGAATTAACTAGACTTTTAGTTGAAATAAATCATTTAGAGACATCCCGAGGTCAGGGGTACGCAAATCATGAAGTTACCTACCCCGATTATGATACAGACTTCCAAGATTGGAACAATGGAACCGAACCTTGGAATGATCCTTCCAAGGGTTCCAGGGTTAGGTGCGCTTTTAACTCCATGTTGACCAATTAACGTTGTTCGGCCGAAGCCCCACATTAGTGGGGACCAATGAAGCCTATGTTTTTTCATCGGCGGGCCGCCAAGGACCCTTGGCAGAATTGATGACACTCGACTTTTCATTGGTGTGCTCTGTGGAACTGGGATCCACCTAATCCCTGCTAGTAATACCTACCTCATGATAGTTATGATATGGAGATATGTACGGAGTGCCTGTACGCTCCACTTCAAAGTTGTAGTTTACCACAGGTAACTCAACACGTTAGATTGGATCGGCGGGCCTGGTATTGCCAAGAACCATTCAGACTTCCAGGCAACAGGCATTTGATATAGGTGATGGCTGTATCTTTTTCCTTGCCGTTTATGTTCAGTACATTTTCGTGCTAGCTATGCTATCGTACGATCGTTAGTATTTAGAAGACTTTCATTATCTGCCGGATATTCTTTCATTTCAAGCATTGGGCATCTATATGCTCAACGAGATACCATGAAGTATACAACGTTGTTCTTCTTATCCCTCGCGGTTGTCTCGGGCTTTCCGGGAATGGACACACTTCTGAATGATATAAGGCGCCGTCAATCAACAAGTGGGTCAAGTGAGATGATTGGAGATTTGAGAGACGGCGCTACGACTGCAGTTGGCAGGCAGGTTCGAGAATGTATCACAGGTGCTGGATCATGCGAGAACCAAGACCAAAAGGTTCGCCCCCGTCTAATCCTATTATGTGTATACTTAATTTAACTGTGGATAGAGCTATAACCGCCCTGGCGACCTGGGAACTGCCCTCTGTCAGGCTGATTCATGTTGCGTTTGGGACTTTGTACAAGAAGAATTAGTCGAGTCATTTCGTAATGGAAATGGGACGTGCAATGGCCTTGCTCGAGCCTCTGTGAGACTCGGGTTTCATGATGCTGGGGCATGGTCCAGAAGCAGTGGTGCTGGTGGTGCTGATGGCAGCTTGCTGCTAAGCTCGGATGAGATCAATCGACCAGAGAACAATGGCCTACAAGAGATTCGAACCAGGGCATTGCAGCTCTTGGATAAATATTCAAGATATGGTGTCACGGCCGCTGACTTGGTGCAGTTCATGCACAATGTCGCTACTGTAACCTGCCCCCTGGGTCCTAGGTTGCTGACTTTTATAGGACGCCCTGATCGCCGAGAAGCGAACCCCATGGGTCTTATACCAAGCAACAACGCTACAGATGCAACATTTCTCATTGAGCTCTTTCAAAACAAGACCTTCACAGCACGCGATCTCGCTGCCTTACTTGGAGCGCACACTGTGGCCCAGCAATTATTTGTCGATCCTTCGAAAGCAGGCCAGACACTCGATTCTACACCAGGAGTTTGGGATATGAATTTCTACCGCGAGATGGCATTGCCTGAACCCCCTTCGTAAGGCTACACCATAATGAAAGCATCGCCAGCTTTAAAAACTGATTTTATACAATGCTCCAGAGGAGTTTTCCGGCTACCAAGCGATGAAGCCCTTTCTCTAGCTGACGGCACCTCCTCGCGTTTTGAGGCATTCACAGTGAGTTTCTGTTTCTCACCTCCCAAGTCTCATCCAAACTCAATGCCTCTTTCGAATACTGACATGACATGACAATCTTCTAGGATGTCACCTTCGGTCAGACGGTCTGGAACCGAGAGTATTCGACAGCATATGTGCGCCTTAGCCTTCTTGGTGTCAACAACATCAACCGACTTACCGATTGCACCAAGGTACTGCCTGGTGCTGTGACCTCCTTTTCGGTGACATCCTCATCCTCATCACCATCTCCTTCTTCATCTTCATCTACCGCCCCATTATCGTCAAGTGAATCCGGGTACATGATATGCTGTGTTTTACTTTGCATGTTGATATTGGTGATATGAATGAGGTCTTCGAAAAGAGGGGGAACTAAAAGCAGATGCTTTGGAGTTATAAAGCTCAGATGCTGTACCTATTATAAAATTGTACTTATTTTATCATCGAAGAGCCAGATGTTTATTCAGGGTGAACAGTAACGTAGGTGGCGAATACATTAAAGTATAGGTCTCAATATGTTACAGTGGAGTACATATAAACAGTATTCTAAATTGGTGAGAAGTAGGACAACTGGGAATATTTTCTCGTACGCCATGGGGCTTGATTTCTGATACACCTCGGCCCAAGTGGCATATTGGGACAGAAATCGAAAATTATATAGGCTTTCCAATCTAGTTCACATCCTGACAATCAACCCCATAATACCTCCGTCATGTTACATTTTCCATTTTCCACGTCAGAGGTATTTCAATACGCATACAGCAAGAGACGCTCACATGGCCGCTATCACAGATGTGTGCGGAAAAAGTCCGCCAGCTTCGGTGCGCTCCGGTTTGTGTGATCATATAGATCAATGTGCGAAAGTCCGGGAATAATATACAGTTCCTTTGGTTCCTTGGCCTGCTCGATCGCAACTTGGGAGAAGTAGAGGGTATCGGCAATTGAGCCTGCAATCATCAACAACGGGCGGGGAGATATAAGTTCCATGTATGCGTAAGAACGGTATGTAGCGATCAAGTCAAGACTGCGCCAAAGGTGCCAGTTTGGTGCTGTTTCAACATGCCCTCTTGGGGTCTGGTAATAATCGTACGATTGTTGATAGAACACAGGCATGTCCGGTCTAACATCCGCTGCAGTCTGTGGGAAGATCCGGGTCAGATTCGTCTTCCCGGTCTCCTCTTCCCGAATGCGCTGGCGTCCCGCCTCCAGCAGCTGGTCTCGAAGCCCATCTTGCATTGGGCCACCATAGTTCCCGAATCCTTCGGAGTATAGAGTTCCTAGATCGATACCACTGACAGTGGCTACCGCCTTGATACGCTTGTCGGTCTGAGCAGCAAATGGCACATAGCCTCCCGATGCGCAAACTCCCAACGCTCCGATTCGGTTGGGGTCCACTATTTCCAAAGTCGAGAGGTAGGTCACGGCGTTTCGGACATCATCGGCGCGCTGGTAGGGGTTCTCGAGGTATCGCGGCAAGCCACCACTTTCACCTTGGTAAGCGGCGTCGAAAGCGAGGGTGACGAAGCCGGTCCGCTCAGCAATCTGTCGGGCATACAGGCCAGAGGTCTGCTCTTTTACGCCGCCGTGCGGATGTCCAACCACAATGGCGGGACGGGATGTATTCAATGTCGAGTTGGTCGGTGGGACGTAAAGATGAGCCGCTAAAGAGATGCCATTGCTGTCAAAGTGCACCCATTGGGGTTGCAGATTTGCAGCCTTTGTGAGCGCAGAGAGAAGAAGGCACGGAAAAATGGTCTTGGAAAAATGCATGACCAATGTAGTAGGTGAGGGAAACGGGATGAAAGATTGATAGTCAACTCGTCGCTACTGTTTCAGTGGAGAGGGATAGGAAAGACCTGGTCACACCTTATATAGCGAATTTTACCTGTTCTAGCCTTTCCTCCTCGTGGTTAAGTCATGAAGATCATTTGATGTTGGATCATGATGACCATACGGACTCCGGGCTTAGGGTCGGAACACTATGGACGATAACGACGTGTAAGTAAGCAAGGTACATCACCTTGTAAAAAAATACTCAATATACGCCGCGTCAGCACCACACCATGTGAGTAGACATCTATGTTACAATAGTATAACCAAATCATCTAGTGTAAACCACGCCAATGCAGAAGGACGCCCGCTTCCTCAACCTTCCCATAACTGACCAATTATATAAAAAATGTCATCAATCTGCAGATCCATAGTTTAATGCTGGTCGATCCCTTTCTGCAGCCTAATTTGGTCTCTGATCGACAGTCTTGCCACCCATTCTAGGCTGTGTACTCCATGATCATTACCAATCAGATATATCGTGCTATCTATTGCTATAATGCTTACATTGCAGAGCGTTGGCCAAGCAACTGCGCGAATTATTGATTATGGTCTCAATCAATATAAACTCACCTCGCCTACCTTATATAAGGGTTATGGAGTGGCACGTCATCAACCTTTCACCTATAGTTAATGTTCTTAAACCCTTCCTATAAAAACAAAAGTTGGCGCTCCTCAGTGTCCGCAATTTTATGTATTCTAACCATAGCCTCCATTATATTCTCATTGTCTCTCCTCTTCCTTCACGAACAGCCTGAAACATCCTTGGCGACCTGCTTGGCATTGGCAACAGGATATACCCGATTATTCTCCGATAGACCTTGGCAACTTGGCAGATTCATAGATAGATATATCCCTATACCTACAAAATACATATATATGTCTGAATATCTCGTTGTAGTAGACCACTTGTCAAACATCTACTTGAATTCATTAATCTCGGTACTCCAGCTTACGCCCTTGCGCTCAATCCGCGAGTATGCTATTCACTCTGGAGCTTGCGCTCCTTGGAGCGGCGCTTTGCCACCTTACAATGGCAAGCCCATTGACGGCCAGGCAACACGCAGATCCCACTGCCATCGTCAAAAACGGAACATACACTGGTCGCTACAATGCTGAGTATGACCAAGACTTCTTCCTAGGAATTCCCTATGCCCAGCCGCCAGTGGGCGATCTACGCCTCCGCAACCCAGTCTCTCTCAATACATCATGGGACGGAAGTGCCGATGCCACTACCTTCGCCTCGGCCTGTTACAATATCGGGGTACCCCAGTTTCCTGAAATACCATATTCGGAGGATTGCTTGAATCTCAATGTGGTACGACCCAGCGGCGTCAAGCCAGGCGACAAACTGCCCGTTGGTGTATGGATCCACGGTGGAGGCCACACAACGGGTTCAAACCAGGACCCCAACTACAACATGACCTTCCTTGTCCAACAATCCGTCGCTGCAGGCAAGCCGTTCATCGGTGTCAATATCCAGTATCGGATGCAACTGTTTGGCTTCATGTTTGGCTCTGCTGTCGTGGATTCCGGTGTCGGCAACCTTGGCTACAAAGATCAGCATTTGGCGCTTCGTTGGATCCAAGAAAACATTGCTGCGTTTGGTGGAGATCCTTCCATGGTGACCATCTGGGGTGAGAGTGCGGGTGCAGAAAGCACAGGAGCCCAATTGATTGCATATGGTGGTCAAGACCAGGGTCTCTTCCGAGGAGTCATGTTGCAAAGTGGAGGTCCTATTAATCCATACCGATACAACACTCCAAAGGAATGGGATGTCTACTACCGCAACATTCTCCGGGCCACCAATTGCAGCGGATCTGCTGACACACTGGCGTGTCTTCGAGCCATGCCTATCGAGTCATTATTCGCCGTTTTCAACAGCAGTGTGGCAACCTCAATCCCATCTTGGGGTATGGAAATCGACGGAGACTTTATTCGGGAGAATGCTCGTGAGGCGCTTGTCGCTGGACGGTTCATCAAAGTGCCAGTATTGCATGGACAAAACCATGACGAAGCCACAATTTTCTCCATCACGGGTGTCAACACAAACGAAGATTTTTATGCCCAGGTGAGACAACGGACATCTGATAACGCCACTGTGCGCGGTATTGCGGCATTATACCCAGACATTCCCGCCATTGGAATCCCATCAACATTGGAAGGTCGACCATCTGCAGCACTAGGCTTTCAGTACAAGCGCATTACGGCCTTTATCACTGACCTAATTTGGCACGCACCTCGCCGGTTGACCAGTCAAATATTGGCCCAGCACAACGTCCCAAATTGGAACTACCTGTTCAACGTGAGACCTAATGGAATGCCCTTATCAGCTGGAGCAGCTCATTTCACCGAGGTGTCCTTTATGTTTTACAACATTCTGGGTCTTGGATATGCGGAATCACCATTTGCCAATACACCCGCAAGTTATAAAGAACTGTCGAATATCATGTCAAGGTATTGGGTCAACTTTATCGTTGATGGAGATCCCAACGGTGCTGGTGGTAAGTTTCCATTCCTTGATTTATATCAGCTGTGTTCGAATTCTTTATTATAATGTCTAATGAGGTTAACTGGTCCGTGTTTCATAGCTGCCACCCAGTCTCACTGGCCTTCATATTCCCTTTCAAACCCGCAGCAAATGACCTTCGATGCCAACACCACTGAGCTTTCGTTCCCCACGCCAGACACATATCGTGCAGCACCGATTCAATATATTATCAACCACCTGGGTTGTTCTTTTGGAAGGTGATCATTCCCCATAATCAGGGGGTTGCCGACACCTTGGTTCGAGTATAAACATGATTAATCTAACTGATGTAAAATAAGTTGTGACCAAATTATATTTCTACCTTATCCTAAAATATTTCTCGCAGGATTAAGCCACTGCATGGCATTGTTCCCAGGGCAGAAGTAATTGCCGCCATAAATCTAACCCTCTTCCTCAACAACTTTGACACCTACTTCGGCGTGTTTGCCCCCTTGAAGGATGTCACGAACTGTCACTGTAGTCTCCGTGTGTCTGACTCCCTCAAAGATGATATCAATCTCCTCCAGCGTCTTATTCTCAGTTGCTGGGAAATAAAAGTACATGACAGGGACCTCCACCAATAGATTCCAGAAGGATGTGATGAGGTAAAATCCCCAAGCCGACCAATTCATAGCATATGGGATTGCGAATGTATTGAGGAATGCTGTGGCGTAACAGACAGCACTGAAGAACGAAATGCCATTTGCACGCATCGAGTATGACAACACCTCGACCGGGTACAGCGTTGCAAGTGGTGTCCACACAAGAGAATAAACACCGAAAAAGAGGAATATCATGGCGACTTCAGCAGCTGAGGAAGAAACCGTTGGGTTATTTCCAAATTCTTTCGTGATAATAGCAACGATTATGAGAAGTAAGGACATGACAACAGTAGAGCCCACTAGAGCAAAATTAGTTACTGACGCTTTCGGTGCCATTCTAAGAGGAATAATATGTGACTCACAAAAGCCTCTGCGACGTCCAATTGTATCGGCTGCCCAGGCACCGACAGCAGAAGTGAAAAGGTTGAAAACGCTCATTCCAATGTTTATACCGAGCTGAGTTTTCGTATCCTGAATACCTGCAGCATCGAGGACGCTGCTAAGGTAGTAAGTAATGATGTTGTTACCACTCACTTGACAGAAAACTGAAGAAATCAGGTCAATAAAAGGAATCTCAACTTGCGGGCTAATAACGTACAACCAGTAGCCGCAACGACACCAATTCTCCATCGATTGGGGCGAGTTTGAACTAGAGCCTTTAGGTTCGTCTTTTGCATACATTTCTCATGCTCCAATGTTTGGCATATCTCGGTGTACTCGATGTCGACAAGCGTAGAATATGGATCTCCATTACCATGATATTTCACGAGAATGGCCTTCGCTTCATCATGGCGGTCTTTGTAAATGAGCCATCGCGGGCTTTCAGGGATGAAGGGTAAAGGGATAAGACAGCATATCGAGGGAATAAATTGTAGCTTATTGCTTATTAGAATAGAGCTTCAAGGCACGGCTTTTTATAAAACCCATGAATGGAGCATACTTACCAGGGATGGAAGACGCCATGACCACGTGCTTTCGATGTATTGACTCCCATATGTGATACCTGCAGCCATAAGACTACCAACATACCATGAGCATCCATATAAACCAGTTAGCATGACGCGGTACTTGGGCGGTGCGATCTCTGAAATATATCTGTAAAAGTTTAGCAAGTGTAATCAACAAAAATGAAACCAGGTTGCAGCGTACGTTGGTGCAGCAGTGGCGCCCGTGGTGACAGAGACTCCAACGAGCAGTCTACCGCAGCAGAACATGGCCTCGTGGACTGCAGCTCCCTGGATGGCAGCCCCTGTCATTGCCAGAATGGCTGTAATAGCGATGCCCCATCTTCGTCCCCAATTATCAATGATTGGGCCAGCAATGGGCATGGCTATCACCGATCCCACGAAGACAATTGCAACATTAAGAGCAAGCGTTGTTGTAGTGAGCCTAAAATATTCGGTATATGAAGGTAATATTTGCAGGCCATTCTACCAAGCCATTAGCACAATATTAACAGGCACAGTTTGTCACTACCTAGGGAATTTGTTATTACCATCATGGACGAGTCATAGCCCTGTGTTGCAGAATTTGCCGTTGCGACGAAGCAGATCATAAAGAGAAGATACAAAGAATTCCCATCCTCCTTGGTTGTTCGTGGGGACGGACTGCCACTTGATGGCTCCATTTTAGGCAAGTCTTCGGGTCTCAAGGAAAGAAGATGGCACAGATTGAGTTATAGATAAACGCAGAAGAATCAAATAACCGTCCTCCCTAATATTCTGTCGGTAGAAAGGTGTAGATACTTAAAGGAATTTGAAGCCGAATTGGACAGTTGATCCCCTCGTATCCAAATCTTACAAACAGCCGATGGAAAGGCTAAATTATGAAGCTTTAGTTGTCTTATCGTGAGCGCAATGGGAATACCCCGCCTAGTAATATACAGAAAACCATTAGAGGTTGCTCCTCTATCTATGTGAGGTGGTAGGTTTACCCTAAGCCCATCCTGGCATACGGCTAACACTAGAGTAAACTAGTCCCTAGACGCCACGGATATCCGATGGGATGGTCCCGAATGGATAAGCTTTGGATTCAAGACAAAGAGTCGTCGAGCGTTCAACAGGAGGGATAGTAATACCTTATACAGTAATAAATATCAATCCGTAAAGGGCCATTTATACGATATAAGCTAGATCTCGACTGTGAGATAAGATGGGCTAAGCTTATTTCTTCCTATTCCGGCATTTTACCCCAGGAGGCTTTCCCGAGGTTATTAGAATATGGGCGTTAGATCGTAATTTAAAATGTCTTAGGCTTCTTTTTTAATGATTCAGATAAGCGAATACAGCACGGTGATTTGATCGGAGCTTCGCTATCCTTCCCCAACATCGCGCAAACAATATAGCTTTACGTACAGATTAATTTGCATCGGTATCATTTGATTGGTTCCTCAAACAGCCAAATAGGGCTTGTCCGATCCGCTAATGTACCTGGAGACATACCTTTGCTGTCACTAGCTAAATGAACGGGGTCATAAACGACCACCGATGCTACAAAAAAATCCCGGTTTCGCCCTCTACTCACATCTGTTCTTGCCTCAATTTCAGCATTCAAAATGGCGACCAGAGATATTGATACTCTGGTGCAAGCCTTGACACTCGAAGAAAAGGTCCTATTGTTGTCAGGCGTCGATATGTGGCATGTCCCATCTATTTCAAGACTGGGAATAGGCTCCATCAAGGTAATGAATGATATTTGATCTGCGTTCATTGCAAGAACTTCCATCAAGCACACCGGATTGAGCAGATTGCTGAGATAAGTTACAGACAACTGATGGACCATCGGGCGCACGTGGCAAGTTCGCCGTCGATGGCCCCAAAGCTGCATTTATACCCGGACCGGTTTGTCAAGGGGCGACATGGTCACGAGCTCAAATCCACAAGCTAGGTCGCTTGCTTTGTCGTGAAGCCAAGACGAAATCTGCCCACGTTCTCCTTGCTCCAACGATATGTTGCGCCAGGAACCCTTTGGGTGGGCGTAACTTTGAGTGCTTTGGCGAAGACCCCTTGCTGAGCGGAAAACTTGCCGAGCAATATGTGAATGGAGTGCAAGAGACCGGCGAGGTTGTAGCGACTGCGAAACATTTGTAAGTAAATCCTCAAGGGCGTCGCCTGGCAGGATGAACATTCCTTTCGTGAAGAAAAGCTTGCCAACGATAAAACACAGCGTGGCGAATGAACAAGAACATCTTAGATTCAGCATCGATGCTAAGATCTCTGAGACGGCACTTCGAGAAATCTATCTTCGACCATTTGAGATGATTGTGAGGATGGCCTCGCCGCCCAAGTGTATCATGACGTCTTACAATAAAGTGAATGGCCAACACATGGACAGCAATGTACCCATAATCAAGGATATCCTTCGGGATGAATGGGGCTACAAAGGCTTGGTCATGAGCGATTGGGGCGGGACAAACTCAACAGTTGAAAGTCTGCTCGCTGGTCTTGATCTAGAAATGCCAGGCCCGCCTGAAAGGCGCGGGGAAAAAATTACTGCAGGCGATCAAGTCTGCTCCGAGCGATGATCTTTTGGCTGCAGTCAATGCTTCGGTTGTACGAATCTTGGCTTTGGCCGATAGTTTTGATTTGCTGGGCCTGAGCTCGGAAGAAGTAGATCAGACACGAGATAGTCAAGAAGTGTCCTCTACGGCCCCTGAGGACATACAACTAATGCGAGAGGTTGCTGCCAGCGGGATCGTCCTGCTCAAGAATACAAAGCAAACACTGCCGCTGCAAGCCAATAACATTCACGGAAAACAGATTGCTTTTATTGGGCCCAATGCATTGAATGGAACTCCCGGCGGAGGTGGCTCGGCAAGCATGAATCCTCAGTATCTGAGTCAACCGATGGAGTCTTTCAAGACTGTTGCCTCTAAGCATGAGATTGATGTCACGGTCAAGTATGCTCTCGGTGCCTACTCGCAAAAATGGCTTCCTTTGTTTTCCAGCGACCAGTGGGGAATAAATACCTCGATGGAGTCAGATAACAAGCCTCTTGTTCGCGTTGAGTATTTTGCCACAAACGATTTCACGGGGCCTATCGTGGAGACCCAATACCGCAATAGCTCCAATATCGATGTTTCCGATAGCTGCCCTGTCGATTTCCAGGTTGATCCTGTCCCGCCATACTCCTACCGCGTGACATCCAATTTGATCCCCACAGCTACCGGAGAACATTCGTTTAGCTTGAGCAGTGTTGGAGGGTCAAGGCTATTGATAGATGGAGAGCTTGTTATCGACAATTCACGCTGGACGGAGCTTGGAGAGACTTTCTATGCCTTTGGCAGCGCTGAAGTGTCGGCCAGTAAGCTTCTAGTTGCCGGCAAAGCTTATACAGTGCAGGTAGAGGCTAGGGTCAATACCTCCGAATTGTCTGCCAACGCATCGAGCGCTGATGCAAATCACGTCTTTGCTGCTCATCCTTCTGTCCGCATCGGGTACCTCCAGCAGATCCCAAGCACCGAGAAACTGATTTCTGAGGCCGTCGCACTAGCCAACGAAAGTGCAGTGACCATAGTTGTGCTGGGACTTAACGAAGAATGGGAAAGCGAAGGGTATGATCGAAAGAGTATGGCTTTGCCAGGGAGCCAAGACAAATTGGTAGAAGCTCTCATATCCAGCGCGGTACGTCCTGAAAGCCTCATATTTGTCAATCAGTCAGGGTCGCCCGTGGAGCTTCCATGGATTGATAAAGCATCAACTTTCCTTCAGGCATGGTATGGAGGTCAAGAAGCTGGAAATGCTTTGGCAGATGTTTTGCTTGGAAACACGAACCCCTCCGGAAGACTCCCAGTCACCTGGCCACGGCGTTATACAGACCTTCCCTTCTATTGGAATAAGGAAACATGGCCAGGTATTGACGAAGTTGTCAAATATGAAGAAGATACCCAAGTCGGCTACAGGTGGTATAATCATCACCCGAATGTGCTGCCTCTTTGGTCGTTTGGCTATGGCCTGAGTTACACTGTGTTCTCTAGCAGACTCACCAATGTTGATGATATGGGAATTTACTGGTCAGTCGGGGTGCAGGTTAAGAACACAGGTACGGTTAATGGCCAAGAAGTTGTACAAATTTACAACTGGCCCGCAGGCCAAAAAGAGAAGACTCTTCTCGTCGGCTTTGAGAAAACGCCATTGCTCAGGCCGAGTGAAGAAATCACCATCAATGTTCAAGTTCGAAAGCGGGATGCTGCTCACTGGATTGGAGGTGAATGGCTGCTGGACGAGGGCGAGTATGCATTCGGTCTTGGGAACGGGGTCAAGGATGCGATGAAGACGAGTTTAGAGATCAAGGTCAAAGGCTGCAGTTGGTCGAGCCAGGAATATGAATAAACAACCACGCAATGCCAATCAATCAAAATCAAATCAAGTGGTTGCAGTCTAGGTAGTTGCGTACTGACTCTATGGGCCCTTCATCCCAATTGAAGCAAATACTCGAAGCCAGACATCTGATATGGGATCTGATGATGTTTAGAAAGAGAATGGCTGGTGAAGGAAATTTCTAAAAAAATAATTAATTTATGATAGCCGCAAAAAGTCAGCCCAGAGCCACTCAGTGAGAAACGACGATAGATCGCAAATGCTGAGAGACATCTCACTATTTACACAGATCCTCCAGCAATTCCAACATGCGTTGCTGCAAATTCACAAGCTCGGATTTGGCAATTGGCGATGCGCTGGTTCCAGTGGACTCGGTCTGGTTCCGAGGCTGTGAGCCTTCTATTTTTGATGGGTTATCTTCAATCAACTCCTTCCGAAGCGTAAAGAATGGAATACCCAGACCGCGCAATTCGGCAATGATAGCATCTCCCATCTGCACGGCTGCCTTGTGCACCTTTGCATCGTAGGTTGCAATCTCTGCAGCGAACTCCTTTTCGGTCTGATGACAATCAGTCGAGGCGAATAATTAAAGGAGGCATTGAGAACTTACCGAGCCATCGTCCTCTTTTACGGGGGCACCAATCGACCTCCTTTTCGTTTTGCGTCAGTGATTGGTCAATAGTAAAGCACTGTAGAGCAGTAGCATAGGACTAAACTCACAGGACTGCATCTAGCTCCCTCTGTTTCTCAGGACGACCCTGCTGCTGCTTCAATAGTGCCTCACGGGCTTGGAACCATTGTTGCTCATGACGATGTTGACTTCGGATCACACCGCGAATGCGAGCTTGGGTTTCTTCGTTTTGACCCACAGTGCGCATCACATGTTTTAGCGCCGCAGGCCAAGTTGTAATAGTTGACGAGTCAGATGCAGAAGTAGAAGTGGATGGTCTGGTTATCCTTGGCTGCGGTCGTGGATCTTCCGAAGGCTTGGATTTGGACGATATGATTTTTGGCGGATGAATAGGTGTGGGTGCATGCTGGTTAGAGCTGCCTTGGCTCTGAGAAGCTAGACTAGACAAGGTGCTGAGGACTGAGTTCAGGTCCGAGGCATTGTAAAAGCCGTCTCCCATATTGCAGTAATAGTAGGGCCTCTCGATGGAGAACCTTGGAAGATGTGTATGTTGGTCCAAAAGTTGCTTATCGATATATCAGCCCCGGTAGACTAATTGATAAATAAAGATTAAAAGTGGCGAGTGGAGATGGATGTAGATGTCAAGTGTTCCAAAGACGGTCGACAAAGGATATATATCGGAATAAAGATAGAGAAGGGGTGTGTTTAGAGAGACCAGTCAATTTTGGAAAAAAGAATAAGTGGTATAATTTATGGATAACATATGAATATGAATTAAAAAAAATCCCCCAAGAATGAGCTTAGAGAACCGAAAGAACCGAAAGAAGGTTGAAGTCATGCCAGTTGAAGCTGTTTGGATGTCTTGGCACATCTCCCGTACTGAAAATTTACCTTCCCACCTGCAAATCCCCCGGTTTATCAACTGCCTCCAGCTCCATCACCCCACCACGGCCCTCCAATTGCCTCGACCCAATTTCCAGTAATATTAATTTGATTCTTAATCCCTATATTGAGGTCTACCCCCGAAACCGGGAATTCCCAACATGTCCCGATCCGCCGCAGACGCAACGCGGTTCACGGCCACCGGGCCCTACGCCAACTCCAAGACCGGCGGCGCGTACCAGGCCCCAGACTTTGGAAAGAAGAACACCAGCACGAAGTCATCACCACCGCAGCTTGGCCCTAATGGCCAACCGGAGACACCCAAGGAGAAGGTGGAACGATTGCGAGCACAGGCACGGGCTGCTCGGAAGTCACAGGCAGCTGGAAGCGGAGCGGATCGATGGATTGAGTCTGGACGGAAGTTTGCCAATAAAGCGCACAAGGGAATGGTTTATTCACTGATTGCCGCGTCCGGTATGTTTCCTGCCCCGTGGAATAAAATGAGCAAAACACCAGCAAAACAACATACGATGCTTCCGAGTCCGAGTCAGCGATGACAACCAACGGACACCCCCCACCCCATCCCTACCGGATTTATACTAATCCTTTTGGATCATATTAGGTATCTGCGGTGTTCTTACGGTCTACTCAATGGTCTCGCTCACGCTCTATAACCGCCGCCAGCGCACGCTTTGGGTCGAGAAGGAACTTGCGACTCTCAAGGCCGCCGAGGTTGCCTACGCCAACGGCACCGCGACTATCGAACAGCAGGAGCTCTTGAAGAAGGAGAAGATCGGTGAAATTATGAAGCAGAAGCGCGAGGAGGAAAAGGCACAGAAGCCCTGGGCCAAGGCGAAGCGATTCCTCTTTGAGAAGCTGAACATGGAAGATAGCGGTGCCAAGACTGCACCAACATCTGCATCAGGCTTGGCTATTGAGGGTGCCGACAATGCTCAAGGCAATGTTATGGAGGCCGTGCAGGCTAAGCAAGCTCTGGATGCTGCTGCAGTGAAGACTGGCGCTCCTTTGCCCGGTCAGTTGGATGTGCTGGCTGAGAACGTGGAACAAGCTGCGAAGACCAAGACATCGAGCTGGACTGGCTGGTTGACAGGGCGGTAGATGGGTATCACCTTTGGTCCTCTAAGCAAACAAAAAGAGCGAAGGATGGAATGGACGGGTCGAGTGGCATAACGTCCTCGAATGCAATGTTGATCTGATTTCATCACCTATCAGCGGACATAATCTGGACCCATCGCTCTCCCTCCACCGATCTTCACTTCTCACCATCTGCAATACCTTTTTTCTCTTGCATAGCAAGTCGCGATCTTTTCTCGTGGCCTGTTTCCATTCTCCCAGGGGGTTTCCGGCGTTTCTTCTTTTATCTTTCTGGAATGTGTTCCTAGTCAATATAGCCCGTCCTGATACTCCGAAGGGAGTGGACGGGCGGGCTTCCATGTATATCGTGTACAGTACATAGATCTGCTTCATTCTATCCGCTCTCATTTCTACCTCGTATCCATCTTCAGATCCCTACAATGTAACCTACGTTCCATACTACATGTAGGTACTACCACCCCCACTAGTTACCCACTAATAGATCACCTCTTAACAGTGGTTTTCACCGAAACAGACCTTTCTAACCTAAGTTTCCGCACTAATCCCCAAAGAGGGAGGGACCCATCCCCAACACCGGAGAAGCGCTTTGCCGCGGGCTTAGGAACCACACATGGTCCATGCATGTAGTGGAGTAGAAAAAATAAAGGATTCTTATAAGGAGAGGGTAGACCCTGAGAAAAAAAAATAATATAGAAAAGCAGTTTCAGCCATTGATCACGTTTTGAAAACTTTTGTCCACTTATACTAATGAAATCTTCAGTCCCAGCGAAACGCAAAACCCTCATAAATGTTTTTTTTTGACACCGACTACACACATTCACACATTCACACATGAATCCCAAGGGTGTTTCCCAAGGAACAAGCTGGAAAAAAAAGGTACAATGGAAAACCGCTGAAAACCCGAGAAAAAGAAACAAACAGGCACCGAAACGAGGTATCTATGCCAGACCCGTTCTCCCTCCCCTCCACGGAAGAAGGGCTATGAAAATCAGAGACAAGAAGGGCATCATCTGGAGAAGAAGAAAAATGTCTACTGCTGCGCTTTACGGGCAGCACGACGAGCACGAACACCATCAGCAAGATCCTCGAGCACCTCGACGGTCATCTCCCAGTTAATGCAAGCATCAGTGATGCTGACACCGCGGAGAAGAGCCTCGGGTCCCTCGGGGGAACCTTCTGGTTACCCTCGTAGATGTTGGACTCGATCATGACACCGATGATAGCAGTCTCACCCTCACGAAGCTGGTCGGAGACCTCCTTGGCGACGATGGGCTGGTTAAGGTGGTTCTTGTTGGAGTTACCGTGCGAGCAGTCGACCATGAGGACCTCGGGCTGCTTCTTGGAGCGGAGAGCCTCACGGGCAGTCTTGATGCTAGCGCGGTCATAGTTGGTACCTCTGTTGCCACCGCGCAAGATGACGAAACCGTGCTCGTTACCGGAGGTCTTGGTGATTGCAGCCAGACCCTGCTTGGTGACACCGAGGAAGCGGTGGGGGTGCGAGGCGGCGCCAATGGCGTCGATAGCGACAGTCAGGTTACCGTCGGTGCCGTTCTTGTAACCGATGGGGAAGGACAGACCCGAGGCGAGCTCGCGGTGAAGCTGGGACTCGGTGGTGCGGGCGCCGATTGCGCCCAGAGAGATCAGGTCTGCCAGGTACTGAGGGGAGATGGTGTCGAGCATCTCGGAGGCGATGGGGAGTCCGGTGCTGGTCAGGTCGGTGTACAGCTTACGGGAGACGCGCAGACCCTTGTTGATGTTGAAGGTCTCGTCGATATCGGGGTCATTGATCAGTCCCTTCCAGCCAACTGTTGTGCGGGGCTTCTCCAGGTAGGCACGCATGATCACGCAGATATCCTTCTCCAATTTTACGGAAAGCTCCTTGAGTCGGCGGGCGTACTCAAGTGCGGTATCGGGGTCGTGGATAGAGCATGGTCCGACAACAACGAGCAGGCGATCATCGCGCTGCTCAATAATCTCGACTGCTTGATTCCGACCGGCACGGACTGTCTCAATGGCACGAGCGGGCTATACAGACAATTGCTGTCAGTTGATGCGCTTGGAAATTTTGCCATGTCCCCGCAAAGAGCGGGGGTGAAGAGAAAAAAAAATATATTGACTCACGGCGGGGATCTCATTCTGCAAGAAGTAGGGCGACAGCAATGGGTCGTATCCGAGGACTAATAACAAAAGACCATCAGTATCGAATGCGTGCACATGTGGCTTTGGGCCACAATTCCACAATTCCACATACCACGAGTGTCCTCATTGACTTCAGTAGTGTTGATGAGAGGCATGACGTTCAAGAAACACTAGTGGTGATTAGTATAAATTATATAGAAGATATAGAAAATTTTTAAAGAAGATTCCTCTAAGGCCGAAATCCTTTAAATCAGAAGAAATGACTCACAAAGTTGGACCGTGTCAAGGGGAAATCTGGCAAGACAAAAATTAAAGAGGCAAAAGTGGGCCGAGTGATTTCGTGGGACAAGGGATGGGTTTTTGTACTGGCAAGTACATCCTACATATTGTGCTATTTATGGGACTTCTGGAGTTTTGATTTTTTATTATTTTCAAACTGTATTACATGTATTATTGATTTTTTAAATTTTAAAAATTAATTCTATTATTTACTGCATTTTCAGCCTGTACTCTGTAGGGGAATATATGTAGATCTAGTTGGCTTGGCTGTCGAGTGCATGTTATGAGAGATCCAATCACGGGGCCGAGGATGACCACAGTGTACGGAGTATGTACAGAGTAGTGTATAACACCTGTCCTACTGCTTTTTCACCGACAGGATAATTCTCCCTCCGACCTGCATATCATGTCATATATTTTCGTTGTCATACTACTCCGTAGCCATTCATTCTCTTATGCACTACTTGATTGGTCAAATGTGTGTTATTTGATGTATCATGTAGAGGTGACCTAATCGGGTAATGATCCATAGAACAGGCCAATGAATAGAATGATATCTAAAACAAGAGTGAGGCCAAATTCGAGTAATTCTCCTTGAAATTAGAGGCATCTCCAATTAAAAACACAACCTAATTAAGCTAATTGCTGTTGTTCCTCTCGAAATGGTCTGAATTGGAAGCCTCCCCCCCCAACAGGACTATATAATCTACATATCTATGTACTTTATGCTTCCCTTCTGATACGTTCTTTCCCAAACAAACTCTTTCCCTTGCATTCCATTACCTGAAACTCTGACAGCGATGTCATTTTCAAAGCGAGGGCCTGGAGCACTAAGAGGCAGGTAGGTCACATCTCTCTCTCTCTCTCTCTCTCTCTCTCTCTCTCTCTCTCTCTCTCATCCACCCATCCCAGCCACTAATTGAAGGTAGAGAGCTTGCCGTCCTGCACCCTTGGGCTTAAAACTATCTTCTGGCCTATCTGGCCAATTGGGACAATTTGTCCCTATTTGTGGCCTAGAATGGCCAGCCTTTCCCAACTCCTAGAAAACACTTCAGCCAGGTGCTGAACATCAATGAACCCAAGACCACCCTCCCTGGATTGGCCAATGGCGATCTCTCTCCCCGCCTAGCCCAAAAGGTTGGCCAGCCCTCGCTAATCCTGCACACTTAATCAACAAATCCCTCAACATCAATGGTCCTTCCGAGGCCACTTCTACCCAGGGCCCATTCCATTTCCCTGGCAGCTAAGCAAGTACCTAGCCTACGGTTGAGTTTGACCCTCGTCTTTCTAATCTCAAGGACAAGGACAAGGACGGTACATCAATCACTGTGAATGTGAACTGGCCACTCCCATACACTCGCTCTATCGGTCCAGTCAACGAGAATGGCTTCGCAGTGGTTACCCAGACCTGGTACCAATACAGTTCTATGATGGACTCGGACTCGCAGTCTTCGGAATCTTCTCGTTCGTTTTGTTTCAACCTCCGATCTTTCCCCGTCCCTCGAATCCACATCCGAGTCTAGTACCTCGGCCGGCCTGATGGAAACCCTCGCACCACTCCCTTCCAACGTGTGACATTTCCTCGTAATCCCAGGTCAGCTTAGGCCGCTACTCCTAGGGGATTACATAAGAGTGTTTAACCGAGGGCTAGACCAAAAGATCATAAAGACAAACAGAACATCTGTTTGTCTCCTGTTTGTCTCTGCAGCGGTATATATATTAGGCCCTAACATTCATTATTCCCCACGTGATTTCCGAGGCCGATCTCGGGAGTTCTATCCTTATCGGGTTATCGTTATCGAGTCGCGTTTGACCCGATAAGCCTGGAGCCCTTGAAGGCTTAGGGTTTATCGACAGGACTGGTCCAAGACCAGGTTTGTCGACGAGAAGTCCGCTTGATTCTGGGATTTCGCCGAGGTTGCCCTCAATGTTATCGCCGGACTCCTGATCATATAGCCACTTTATCTTTTCTTTTCTATTTCTTTTCTATTTCTTTTCTTTTCTTTTTGGATTCATTCGACCATCATCTCTATGAACAAAATGACTTCGACTTGACGCCTGTGAATGACATGAATGGCGCTCAAGGCCGGGTGCTCAGTTTTAGTCTCTGTTTCCGAGCTTAGCTTCTTTAAATAATGAATCTTGGAATTCATTCTCTATTACATACGCACCTCGACCTCTTCTCTAGACCACTTGGTAGGACCCCAGTAGGCTGTAGCTCTACCAACTTCTAATTTACGAGGTATTCCCCAAACATCACCAGCGCCTCTCCTTTTATGCACCAGCTACCTCAACATAGCATTGAGCTGTCACACCCACGTAAAGATTTCACACTCGTAATTCGCCTATAGTACCTTGCTTTGACGTCCACTTCTATTTAAGGTCTTTTCTTGGTATCCTTTGTTACAGCGCTGATTCGCTTAATGGCATGGGCATTGTTCTCTAACCTAGATGTGGGACAAGCTGCAGCTCTTTGTTCTACTTCGATGGGATGTCTAATTCCTAAAAGAAGATCTTGGTTCTTATTTTGATTTGTGTGGGACTCTTAATTCTGTAGTCTTCATAAGGGAGTACTTTGGAACTTGACTGAAATATACCCCGGGGCCACTGGGCACATGAAATGTTGACATGTAGCAGGTACGCTTTTATGTTTGCTTCTAGACTATACCTGCTTTGACTGTGATTGCCCTTCTCTTTCTTTCCATCTCCCATTTATCTTTGTTTTCAACTGCCCCTCTTGATTTTACTCTTTCCTTTCTTCCTCGCTTCAACTCTCTTGACTGTCCACACTTCATCTCCGAGAAATCACTTTCAGCCCCGATGCCCTCCATGCCTGGAAGCTTTGCCCCTGTCCGCATCGGTACGAAGAAAAAGAGGCTCAAGGAATCTGGGGTGTTGGAATTGGCTCGCGTGACCCGAGAGTCACAGATATCCCAGAAAGAGAAAGCCCACCATGCATCTCAGGTAAGCACACTGGTCCTGACCTCGTAATCACCTTGGAAGAACTTCCCTCGCGTTTTCTCGATGGACAAAGACCGTGCTTTCAAATACTGATGGTTATAGCTAGAGAATTGATGGCTGCGTGCACAGCTCCACTGCACATGGCACAAGCACCAAAGGCAGCCGCCACCGCGTAGGTGGCTCTCCCGAGAAGACCGCAGAGATCGCCCCTGCAGACCGCCGCTTCCGTGCCGAGGACGAATACCCTACCCGCTTCAGCTTGAAGGAAATGGAAATCGACATCGGCTCGTGGATGTGTCTTGCATGTCCCACTTCGACCCGCAAATGCCTGGACTGCAAACAATACGAAGGCCACGAAGACTCTCTGGTCATCGCCATTCATGGAGAATGTCTCACTGAAAAGAATAGAAAACGTTCGGCAATCGGAGTGTTCTACGGCCGCGGCAACGCTGGCAACATCTCCGGGCCCATTCCAGGCAAGGACGACCACAGCCACACGACCCAGATCGCCGAGTTGACCGCCTGCCTGCGGGCATTGCGCAATGCAACTTCCATCATCGAGAAACGCCGCAACATGATGCGCAAGGGCAAGGTCCTCATGCCGCTGAATACATTTGTTATCAAAACAGACTCCGAATACCTGGTCCGCAGCTTGACGGAGTGGTTGCCCAAGTGGAAGAAGAATGGATGGAAGACTTGCAAGGGAGCCCCGGTGGCCAATACTGATATGTTCAAGCTGGCAGAAGCTGGTATCACCATGGTTGAGATGGTCGTTCAGGTTAAGTTCTGGCTTGTGCCCAAGGAGAACAACCTGGAGGCTACTTGCCTGGCAAAGATGGCTTTCATGGAGAAATGAGCAAGGGGAATCACCTACGTGCCCCCCATCAGAGTTACCAATTATCAATCAGTTCATCACAGAATTTCTAAATGAATCCAAAGATATCAAATTCGGGAACGTCGACATTATCCTCGGCTTTGCTTCCGGTTCCAAAGTGCCGAACCGAAATGGCTGACATAAGCATCCGATGGGGTCCCGATGTACAGCTCAGAGTTGCATGGCTGTCATTAGGATTATTCAGTATTGTAGAATATCCAGAGGAAAGTTTGTAGAAACTATTAGCAGATTAAAAGGCTAGACTATACAACTAGAAGTTGGAACATCCAACAACTTCTCCCCACATTTCGCGGGAAACCGCTTAGCCGATCTTCAGTGCCGCGGCCACTCAGGAACGGTAGTCGACCAAACTACTTCCGACCCCGGAATTTTGTCCGGCATTTGCTTATAAGTAATTCTGGTGTCCCGGGGCGTGTTGGAAGGAATTGTTATCGGTCTCTCTCTTTTCTCTTTGTTGCATACATTAGCCATTGTACAGATGTAAGTAACTATCCCAGAGCATGAGATTCAAGTCGAAACTAATAGCGCTGCGAAAGACCGGAAATACCCTTGACTCTCGGTATACAGCTTTCACCTAATTCCAAACAATCCAATCAACCTACAAAATCATGGCTTCTCCAATCCCCCGCGGACTCCGCCAAGTACTCCAGAAGTCCCCCAATGATATTGTCATCCTCTCCTCGCTGCGCACACCCGTCACCCGCGCTAAGAAGGGTGGTTTCAAGGACGCCTACCCAGAAGAGCTACTCGCCAGCGTGTTGCAAGCAACACTGAAGGCAAACCCAAACTTGGACCCCGCCCAGATCGACGATGTGCTCATCGGTTCTGTGCTTCAAGAACTAGGCGGCGCTAAAGCTGGTCGCATGGGCCAAATCCACGCCGGCTTCCCTCACTCCGTGCCCTTCAACACGATCAACCGCCAATGCTCATCCGGCCTGGCAGCGATCACAACAATCGCCAACGGCATCCGCGCCGGTGCTATTAACGTCGGCGTCGGCGGCGGCATGGAATCCATGACCCGCAACTACGGCTCCCGCGCCATCCCCACAGTTCTCTGGCCCGAGCTGAAGGAGTCCTATTCCCAGGACGCCCGCGACTGCATCATGCCCATGGGAATTACATCTGAGAACGTCGCGTCCCGCTACGGCATCTCCCGCGCAGACCAGGACGCTTTCGCCGTCGAGTCCCACGCAAGGGCTTCTGCCGCCCAGAAGGCTGGCCGCTTCGACTCCGAAATCGTCTCTGTCACTACCAAGACCCTCGACCCCGAGAACCCAGATGCCCCTGCCAAGGAGGTGACAGTCTCCCAGGATGACGGTATCCGCCACGGGCTATCCCTCGAGAAGGTGGGCGCACTCAAGCCCGCTTTCTCGCCTACCGGTGCCAGCACCGCTGGTAACAGTTCGCAAGTCAGCGACGGTGCCGCTGCTGCTTTGTTGATGCGTCGCTCCACCGCCGAGGAGCTGGGTCTGTCTGGTTCTATTAAGGCGCGCTGGGTCGCGTCTGCTGTTGCGGGCTGTGCCCCCGATGAGATGGGCGTTGGCCCTGCTGTTGCCATTCCTAAGCTTCTGCAGACGGTTGGCATTGAAGTTCCCGAGGTCGGTGTTTGGGAGATCAACGAGGCTTTCGCTTCGCAGGCGCTCTACAGCGTTCGCAAGCTTGGTATTGACCAGGCGAAGGTTAACCCTAACGGTGGTGCTATTGCTATCGGTCACCCCCTTGGTGCTACTGGTGCCCGTCAACTCGCTACCCTGCTGCCTGAGTTGGAGCGCAGTGGACAGGAGATCGGTGTGATTAGTATGTGCATTGGTACAGGTATGGGTATGGCGGGCATGTTTGTCCGTGAGTAAATTGTTTTACTTGCTTTGCACAAAATGTTTTTTTTTTTTTTTGTCGATTTTGCTTAGTATGATACCAGCGTTGCATGTGTATATACAGTTCGCGTACTATGAATGATTGTATTTCCTTCTAACTCTAGTTTGTAGCCGAAGACTTTAGGGTGGGATCTAAGAAATATTTTTAAAGTATATCACATGCTGAGTGTAGTGTACTCTCTAATAGTCAATGATGTTATTGTACTGCATATTTTTCTTTTTAGTCTATAGTTATTGGTGGTTTTGGCGGGTTGTAGAGATATGAAATAGCATCGAAGAATGTTTCTCATTGAACATCGAGTGCGGAATTTTTGAAAAAAAATAGAAAAACAGAAACAGATAGAATAACCCATAATATGCAATTCCATCTGCGTAAATTATTTTGTTTCTAATATCAAAGTCTTAGCCTTGAGGAAGGGCAGAACACCAAAATGCCAAGCATCAAGATCACCGACACGTGACCTATGCCTTTCTTGAATTTGTTTCTCCGTCCGGGTCACCTCCGCCAGCTCGACGCTCTCAAACAGCATTCGCGCCCACCTTAATAATGCGACCCTCAATGCGCCTCCCTCTGCGGGAGGCAAACTTTATCTGTTCCAGCTGCAGAATTCAAGCCACCCCCCGTATCTCGCCTCTTAGCCAAACCCGCCGCTATGCCTCCGACTCCTCCCCCGGAATCCTCGAGCGCGCTCGGCGCAAGATTTGGGGAACCGACAACCCCCAGGCCCAGCAGACCCCTACACTGGAAGCCAAATCATGCCTGGAGCTGGCATGAGTCCCGGAGAGCCTGTACCAGAGGAGGCATTCAGTCTCGAAGAGGGTCAAGCACGATCCGAAGAAATTGAGGAGAACCTGACCTGGGAGGGAATGCCCAGGATTGGCTATCTCAAGGAGAAAGAATGGCGCCTGAGGGGTCCGAAAGGGCATGCCGATAGAGTCAAACCGTATGTTCGATCCAAGTTTCCAATTCAATGCCTCTGCATCCTGGTTTGATTTCTAGATTGATTTGCTGACAATTTCCTTCTTAATTGATAATAGATGGTACAACAACCCACGTTCTTTACCGTACATGAAGGCTGCGCACCAAGCTGCCGTGGAAATTGGTTTGATGCAAATGTTGGGAGGAAAAGTCACCGTTGTTAGCAAGCCCAGCAGCCGAGCGATCGAAGCCCAGCTCAAGTCGGTTAAGATCGAAGGCGAGTCTGGTAACTGGGGTGACCGTCTCCGGTTCCCCGACATTAAAACTATGGAATCTCTTCTGCGCAATGCAGCGGGGTCTGTGGACGGCAAGGCCACCGAGGCCGCCGAGGCCGCTCTCCAAGAGAAGTTGAAGGCAGCTAGCGAGCAGGGAGATCGCCTGTATGGCGCAGAGTCCAAGGGTCAGAAGCAGAACAGCCTCAGTTCTCTGTCGCTGGCTGATGGCAATGTCAAGTTTGTCGTTCGTATTCCCCATTCGACCTTTTTAATGCCAACATCGCTAACAAACGCATTTCAGTTCTTCGCCCGCCTCTCCAAATTGATGTCTCAGCACATTGCTGACTACATCATCACCTCTTCCACCACCACCGGAGATGTCTTCCGCGCACAGGAGGCACTTCGCAAAAAGACTACCAGATTGACTCCTGTGCTTCTCCACAAGCTTATGGACAAGAACGGCGCTGCTGAGTTGTCTAACGTCAAGATTCTCGATGTCCGCCAGACTCGCCACGACAACGATGAGGATCTTGGCCGCAAGAAGGCTATTGTTTCTACGCTCTACAAGAATGGCTTGATCACCAAGAGCCTGGGTCAGAAACAACCGCCGCCCTGGAAGCAGGCTAAGAAGACCGAGCTGAATGCCTAGGCCTCTCTTTTTGTAGAATGTAGGAGGCATCGTTTTTCCTTTATCTGAGAGCAATCTTTTGTACATTAGAATTGTTGATTGAATTGCATTTTATGTCCTTATTTCGTTTCGTCATGTCAAGTCAGTTCAGATAATTGTACATGTTAGTTTTGGAATGTACGGTATGGCTAGCAGTATAGTCCTCCAGCATAGAACACTGTAATCACCATCAATCGTTGAAGAACATCAAAATCCGTATGAACTCCGGAAATCAAACTCCCCCACGACCTTGTGTGACATTGAAAAGCAAGGCACTTCATTTAGGTCGAGTGTCTACCTCTGCGCAGCAGAGAGATGGAACACCCTCAAGTCATGATATAGAAAATCCTCTGGTCATGAAATCACGATTTTTAGACCCGCTGTCCTTCTTGGTGAAAAGACTGTCGAGATTCTCATTCCCACCCATCATCTTCCGGCGCTTCTTCTTCTCATTCTCCTCTGCCAATACACGGGCAGTGAGCGAAGAAGTAGCAGCGTTCTTGATTCCATTGCTAGAAGCAGTACCAGGCACTGGTGTAGAAGTGTTGCTTCGGCTTTTAGGATCTGAGGATGGCTTAGGCACCTTGGGTGCTACCAAGCCAGCAGGCTCTATGGGACCGGGAGCATCAGTCGCACCCTCGGCGGTGGCGTTCTTCTTGCGCTTCTTTGAGCCGGGAGCTTTTTTGAGGGAGTGAGTGAGGCCTTGTTCGGCGAGTTTCTGGCCTCGTGCGATCAAACGTTCCTTGTCCTCCTTTTTGGTGGTAAGGATGTTAATGATGTTATCTTCGGTGTATGATTCGTTGCACTAGTACGCACATGTTAGCGATTATCACCGCTTTGTATCTGAGGCGGTGTTCTTACCTGCAAGCACTTGTCGCCTTTAAGCTGTCGGATAGCCTCCTCCGCAAACACATGTCCACATGGCACCAAGTACACAGACTTCACACTCGGGCCCAACGGCTTTGCGGTGACCGGGCAGATCCAGCCCTCGCGGCGCTCGCGGGGCGCATAAGCACGGCCTGATGGGTGCTCTGTGAGCTCGGTGTCGATTTCGAATTTCACCTCTACCACATCCCGGAGCGACTTCACTCGTCCGCACAGGATCTCTTCGCAGTCGGCCTTGGAACTAATACCCTCGACATCGTCGCCGGGGAGCAGGAACTGGAGTATAGCATCTTTGTTGTAAAGATTCCCAACTGAGTCTGATACAATTGGCCGGGATAGGGACTTGTGTGAGAGGGGACAGGTAGTCCAGGAGTGTTCTTGCTGCTCGCGCTGAGTTTCTTTTACTTGCGCCGTACTCGGGGCACGGGCTGCTTCGCGGACGAGCTCACGGCGAGTTGGAATACTAGAAATCCTGGTATTAGAAAAATCCAGTCTGTAGCGCATCTATAAAAGAGCCACTCACCTGCCACCATCATTACCCATGTTTGCGATGCGGTTGATGTAAGATGCTTCCACTTCGCCACGATAAAGTTGGAAAGATAGCGCGCTGACTCAGCGGCGATTAGATCCAGCCCGGGCCCGCTATCAACAGCTGGCCAGAAGCTCTCTCCGCACCTCCACAAACAAAGCTCAATGCCTCAAGCATGAGACTCCCTCAGTCGTTATTGTTGCTAGCTGCCGCTGGGTCGGCGGCCAAGGCTAGTAGTGACAAGCCTGCCCGTCCCCGTGGCTTGGGCCCAGAATGTGAGTATTTGAACCCTGACTTTTAGATCTCCACTAGTGTTTATGCCGCCGGTTCATGTATCGGTGAACTATGATAGGCCATTGAACCTTTTTTTCCCCGTGGAGATTATACTAATATAGTGTCCATAGTTGCCAAATTCTACCAGGACTCGACTACATTCACCTGTATCTCGAATCCCTCGGTCACAATCCCCTTCTCGGCCGTTAACGATGACTACTGTGACTGCCCCGACGGAAGCGACGAGCCCGGCACGTCTGCCTGCGCACACATTTCGCGTAATTCACCTTTAACAGTGGCTGACCGGCCTGGGAATAGCGATTTGGACACTGTACTCGCACTCCCGGGATTCTATTGCAAAAATAAGGGCCACCGGCCATCATACGTTCCATTCCAGCGTGTCAACGATGGTATCTGTGATTACGAGGAGTGCTGTGATGGTAGCGACGAGTGGGCTCGCGTTGGGGGCACGAAGTGTGAAGACCGATGCAAAGAGATTGGCAAGCAATGGCGGAAGCTGGAGGAGCAGAACCAAAAATCGATGACTGCTGCTCTGAGAAAGAAGAAGGATCTTCTTGTCGATGCTGGTCGCCAGCAGCAGGAGATTAAGGATCATATCGCTGCGCTAGAGGCCGAGGTTGAGGGCGCCGAGCTCAAGGAACGGAACCTCGAGGCTGATCTGAAGCTCGCCCAGGAGCAGGACAGTAAGGTGGTCCGCACTGGAAAGGGCAAGGGCAAAGTCAGTGCCCTTTCCAACTTGGCCAAGGCCCGTGTTGATGAGCTACGCAATGCGTTGGTTGATGTGCGACGCCAGCGGGATGAAGCCCGCGAGCGGGCGAAGGAGCTTGAGGATATTTTGGCTAAGGTCAAGGTGGAATATAACCCCAACTTCAATGACGAAGGTGTCAAACGTGCGGTCCGTAGCTATGAAGATTACGCTGCTCGTGACCAAGGCACTGAGGGTGCGAACGGTGCCCTAGACCGCGACTTGGACGAGATTGCCAAGGCCGACGGTGAGGATAGCGGTATTAACTGGGAGCACTGGGAAAACGAGGAAGATGGATGCAATGACTCGGATCTAGGTACGCCATTAATTTCTTGTGACACCTAGTAGCGATTACTAACTGGTAACTATAGTGTACAAGCTCGCTGCCTATCTCCCACCATCACTTGTCAGCTTCATCGAAGACAAGGTCATTTCTGTCAGGGGCTTCCTTGAAGAAAAAGGCATTCTGCCCAAGGCCAGTGAGGAGTCTTCCTCGGAATCCAAAGCCGTGACCCAGGCACGCGACGCCCTCAAGGCCGCGCAAGACTCTGTTACAAGCCTCAAAAACAAGCTACGCGATCAGCGTGCCGACCTTGAGCAGGACTATGGCCCTAACTCTATCTTCCGCGCACTCAGGGGAGTATGTATCACCCAGGATGCGGGTGAGTACACGTACGAGCATTGTTTCCTTGAGTCAACCAAGCAGAACCAGAGGAAGGGAGGAAGCTCCGTGTCCATGGGCAAATTCTCGAATGTTGGAACCACGAGCGTGGAAGAAGTCAACGCGGCTGGTGAGGTCGTCAATGTCGAGAAGATGACGATTGAGTACAACCGCGGCCAGTCTTGCTGGAATGGACCTAACCGGTCGACCAAGGTCATTCTGGAGTGTGGCGAGGAGAACAAGATCTTGAAGACAGCGGAAGAGGAGAAGTGCGTGTACTCCATGCTTGTTACATCGCCGGCTGCATGTGCAGGTGGTGAAGAGGCAGGTAATGGTGCGCCTCGCTCGAAAGACGAGCTGTGACGGTTATATTAGATTCAGAGATCTGCTAATACATATGTATTGAATGTCTATTTCATCTGCATCCCATTAGTTAGAATGAATTGCAATTTGAGCGCTTTAAAACCCTTTTTTATTCTTGTTCCTGAGTGTTAAAGCATTTGTTTCTTGGTGTTCAGTTAGATGCAATCGATGTATGTGCTAGATACGCGGACGACTCATTAGATAAACAAGATCAAATCACATTTACTGGAGCATATGGATACTACTAGAGATCATAGACAATAATATAGCCAGATTTATAGTTGTTAGAGAACTAAATCACAAGAACGTACATGAGGTCGGATCTGAACCTATATAATCCCAACACCCCATCCACAAGGCTCCAGGCCCTATCCCCAGATCCTAGCATACAACCATCTCGATCATGAAAAATCACAATGAAGTTATCTCATGACCTCGACAATGAGGACACCCGCACACCGGCTAGTTCGACAGCAGTGGGAGTCCGGGTCTGGTATGGGTTGTATTGGAGGAAGATGGCGGTGGTGAAGGCTTGTGAGCCGGCTTAGTGCTAGAAGGGTAGTTAGTATATCTTTCGCCCCAGGGCCGCATCCCACTCCAAGTAATGGTGGCTATAAGACACGGGGAGAGAGAAAGCAATGACATACAGTGCAGGTAGAGCAAGAGCAGGAGTTGCACTCGCCAGAGCAGCAGTTGCAAGCACAAGGAGACATGATGAGTATAGAGGTGGTAGGTAAAGAACCTTGAAAAAAGAAGCTTAAGAGTAGTGTTTGGTTTAGATATTGAAGGCTTGGGTAGAGAAAGAAAATTCCAACAGGGGAAGGATATGAGAGCTACTTTATACCTCTGAAATCCATGAGATTGCTACTTCGTCCCGATCAATAATAACAGAGCGGATAATTCGATTTTCCCAGTTATCATGCAACTCCATCCAATCCAAGACGTATTAACGTCGCCGCGGCGCCCCGTTCACATTCCATCGTATCGCGTGGTCGAGTCAAATGAACCCAGTCCTGCATTCCACTCAGGATCCTCCCAACCCCAATCAGCCTGCCACCTATCATGGCTTTCGGCCTATTCTCACGCGCTATCCGCTGTAAAAAGTACTATATCCAGGTTACTCTACCGCTCGCCAATAAAGCGGAGTCTATCGGGGTCTGCCTATGATGTACACTTCTAGAGTTCAAAGCCCCTCTCGGGTAAATATGGCGCAGCTATCGACGAAAGGATTGATATCCGATATATTTTCTTACGAAGTCTAAATGTTATCTTTCTCGGTATTTGCTCGGTAGTATGGTGAGTACGACATCATCAGGGTAATCAGGTTATGTACGGAGTAGATCAGATTACATTATGTTCGGGCCGGGGTTCATGCGAATAATATGGCTGGTCTATTGGCCTAGACTGAAGACTAGGAGTCGCGCAGGGGTTCATTTTGTGGAGCAATCGCATGCGTTGTTTACGCTTTGCCAGATATGGTCATCTTTGCCTGTGCGGAGGTACTCTATGTGTTAATTGTTTGCCTTTTAGATCTCGACTGGACTTGAATATGTATTTCATTAATCATATGATACATGCTATATAGATTTCAATTATGTGGATGCATATAAGACATTGAATATAGCAAATGTAGGGTAACACTCCCTATTAGTGTGTTAATTAATAAATTTATGACCTTCATTGTCATGCCACGATGACGGCCATGTTTCGGGTATGACGCAGATCTGCATGCCATGTTTGATCCACTGGTTTCGGGACGGGCCTCTTATTATCTCACGAGTACAGTCATACGTACAACTGGCGTACGAGAGGTGGACTGTAAGTACTATAACGAACTAGGATAACGTACTCCGTATTCAAAGAAAAGATGGAAGGTGCCCAGCAAGTAAGGGCCAGGTATGTAATTCCTGGCGCTTGCAGCGGTTTTGGGTTGGACTATCGTCGTGGCAGCCTATGAGGCAAAGTTTTCATGGATTGGGGACCTTGGAGGAGGGGTGCTATCCGGCCCCATTGGTAGCCCTGGATTACCTGAGACGTATGTTCATATCCACCAGGTGGAGCTATTACCATGGTGTTTCGACTTTCGCGTTTTTCTTGATTGCTTTCAGGGTATGGAGTATTTGTGTACGGAGTACTGAAGGTGTATGACGGACGAGACGCTCGTGGAGTTGCACCTGCATACTCCGTAGTTGGGGTTGTATTAGTTCCCGAGGTCAGTTTGAGACCAGCATTAGATCATGTCCTACATATTGCATTTGGTAATATCTAATCAAGACAGGAAACTGTGTATACTATATACCAAGAGGCGAGATCTAATAACACAGAATTTGAGAGGCATCTTAATGGATGTGGCATACAAAGGCCTATATTGTGCGTTTGGGCCTCGCTGTATACGGGCACAGACTCCTTGGTATCTCACTGAGAACCAGAAACAAACCAGCGAGGCACCGAGAAAGTGGAGAGGCTGCAGCTTGGAAGCTACCAGAGCATATCACAGACCTCTCCGATGTGCATCATGCATGATTATGATTGGTTCCGATCCGATACTACTGTTCTCGGACTCGTGCAGTATCGAGTCCCGCTTTTTATCTCTTCTTACATTCGACTCTTCGCCGTACCAGGTGTTGGGGTCTCCAAACGTTCGATGTTGGAGATGGTGAAAATGCCGCATCGGCAAACCATAGTGGAAAGGCGGGAAGGATCTTTCCGTATCTGGTCAATGTAGCGATGGGACGATCACTTAGTGGACTGAGTTGTTGGGTTGCGAAGGGTGCCTGATATTGTATCAAACAAGATCCTCGGTGACTCGGTCTCTGGGAGGATGTCTACTCCCCCCCCGGCTGTGTGTTGGCATTGGTATATGGGTGGTTCGATCTAAGCATGTGCCAAGGTACCTCGGGGATACTATGTACGTTGTAGATAGTTAACTATATGGTGTATGTTAGTTGACTCTACTACTCTCCACTCAAGAGGCTATTCGGATATCTAAGTATGTTGTATGTCAAGAAGGCTGTTGTGCCCCCAAGGTTGACCCATACCGATCTTCAGACCCAAATATTAGATCTGATGCCCACAAGGTACTTGTTCTACAAGGAATAAAAGTGTTCGAGCAATTGCATATCATTCACTATGACCCCCTGTTTTATGACATGACGTGCATCCCCGAGGAACACAATCGGGAGCTTTCCGAATCAAATATCCTCCGTGTCACTGCGTGCTCGTATCCATTGAAAGGTTCAAATCGAATTCATCGTACCCATGTGGGTGATTTATTTCTTCTAAACAGATTGAGGGGTCGGGTCAGCCAGATGTCATCAAAGGAGGGGATATCACATACAGGGCAGTTGCAAGAGCCGGCAGGGCACTGGCAAGAGGTGCCGCAGCTGCATCCGTGGTCGCCTATTACAGTGGTTAGCATTGAAAGGGAAAGAAAGGTGAAATACGACGAGGGCCAACCCCGCTATGACCCCGCCATTTCGGAAATCGGGCCAGGGCAAAAGCACCCTTCTTCACTAATTTGTGAAGTCACATATATCATGGAAGATGAAGATACTTACTCATTTTGTATGTTTGGAGTGGTAAAAACTGGTGAAGCTTTTGAAAGTTGTGTTGGTTGCAAAGAGGTGGGGGAAGAGAGAGAGAGAGGGGCCGGGACCTTGTTTATATACTCGTGACTTTCCGGGATACAGTCTGAGGGTCAGACACTTGAGTGAATTCTCATTGTATCTCGTTCCACGTTACACTTCTGAGCATATTTTTCTGTCCCCGCTTGCGCACATAGCCAACGCATTGCTTTCGAAAGTGTGATCTTGAAATTACTTGCATCCTCGAACCATGACTACGCCTATTTCTTGCATATGCGGAAGCGTAGCTTTATCTATCCAATTGGACTCTGTTACCGACCAATCCAAACTCCAACTATGCCATTGCAACAGCTGTCGAATGGTGACTGGACAGTTATCTTCATCGTATTATCTCCTCCAGCAGGAACCACCGGATCTAGATGGGCTTCAGGAATATCAACAGTCCAACCATGTTAGCCGTTACTTTTGTAAGACATGTGGTGCCCACGTCTTCGCTCGCATGCAGCCTGGGGGACAGTTTCTAGTTGCATCGGGCTTGCTGGCAGCAAAGAACGTCCCATCTGTCCAAGCGGTTGAGCACTGGCAAAGTAGCGAAACGGGCGACGGTGGACTCAGTACACTGCTTCCTGGAACGGAGTCCACCGTCACTGGTTGCAGATTACATACTTCAACCAGCAATGAGAGCCCGAACCGAGAATCGATCACCGTGGCGGGGTATACATCAACAAGCCAGCATCTGCGGGCACGTTGCCTCTGTGGAGGAGTTGAGTTTTATATCACCAAGCCCGATGCGTCGTCCTTGCAAGCATCCTCGCCATGGCCAGATCTTCTAGTTCCATACTACACCGGGTCTGGGGCGAATCCTGACAACATCAAGTGGTGGTTACGAGATGGTGGTACGAAATATCTTGCAGGAACCTGTGTCTGCAACAGCTGCCGATTAAGCAGTGGATTTCCCATCCAGACTTGGGCATTTGTACCCAAGTTCAACATCTTTAATACAGATGGATCACCCCTTACATTCAATGCAGGGACTATGCGGCGGCATGGAAGTTCACCAGGGGTATATAGAGAATTCTGCAGCTGCTGTGGGGCTACCGCTTTTTGGCATTGTGATGAACGACCACTGCTAATTGATGTAAGTGTGGGCTTACTCCGGGCAAATGGTGCTAGAGCCGAGGATTGGTTGGAATGGGCACCAAATCGTATCAGCTTTGCTGAGATGGCGGTGCAACATGATTTGATTCATATTCTAGAAGAGGGCCACAAGATACATTCGAAGCGAAACTAGTCGATATCTGGAAGATACTATGTAGCCATGCTTGATTCGATGAATGTCCTTTCGTATACTCCCATAGGTGGTACCCGTAGCCACACACACGTGTGGAAGGTGCGACCAACTCCGTCACCGCCTTCCCTCCGCCTGACTTTTTCGGAGATCTTTTTTTTCGCGTGTCGAAACTCGACACTCTTGATTCTCCATCCTTCACGCGTCTGCATTTTTGCTGCTTAACCGCAGCTGTCGAAAATGCCAATGCCTCCATCTGCCCCATTCCAGTTCAGAGGAAGTTCTAACTACCGTGGTTCGCGTCCTAACCCGCGCCATGAGTTCACTTTCCGGTACCAGAAACCAGCCACCTCGGACCGACCGTTGTTGTCCTCGAAGAGGGAAAGCACCCCCGAACGTCTTGAGGGCGAAACTAAGCCTGGGCTCAAATTTGCCGAACTTTCCACTTTGAGCGACAGCGAAGAGGCAGAAATGGACATGTCTGATGACTCTGATGGTGAGCGACCGCGTAAGAGACGTGCGCTAGCTCTCGATGGGCATCAAGAGACTGCTCCAGCTCCTCCTGCTCCGAGATGGTCGAACCCCGATCCGTACACTGCGCTACCTCCTCCGTCCGAAACTACAAACAAACGGGTGGATGTTGTGAAGCTAATTCGCAAGGCGAGACTTGACATTGCTACAAAGACAGACGAGATGGATGCAGTCAAGCAGAACTCAGACTTCATCTCTCTCGGGATGTCATTCGAACCTGAAAACCCTCAAAGTAACGCTCCTGATAACGCGCCCAAAGGGCCAAAGGCGGAAGTCCTGGATTCCGCCATCGCGAGCCGAAAGCGCACCCGTGAGGATGAGATTAAAGGATACTCCCGAAAGACCGGCAAGCCTGCCAGCAGGTTCAACTACGATGGATCAGTTATCGATCAATGGAAACCACTCTCCCAAGAGACAGGCACACCTTGGTTCGAGGGCACCCCAGTTTCATTACACGTGGGAACGCAGTCAGTACCATCCAATGCGCTTTCTCTCATTTCTCTCTAACATCTAAACCAGGCTGCATAACGAGATTCTCAGCTTCTATCACTGGGCCAAGCCCCAGGAATTCGAACATATCGTCCGTGCAGATCTTGTCAATCGATTGGAGACTGCATTCCAACAACGATACCATAACGTTTCAATTCGGGCCTTTGGATCTTTTGCCTCGGGGCTCTACCTCCCTACGGCTGATATTGATTTAGTACTCCTTTCCCACACATTCTTACGCACGGGAGTTCGAACATTCGGAGAGAGGAAGGGTCAAATCTACGCGTTCTCGGCTTTCCTCAAGAGCACAAATATTGCTGTTCCTAACTCGATCGAATGCATTGCCTCCGCCCGGGTGCCGATTCTCAAGTACGTGGACAAGCTGACTGGATTGCGAGTGGATTTGTCTTTCGACAACGACAGTGGCTTAGTCGCCAATGAAACATTCCAGAAATGGAAAACCCAGTTCCCGATGATGCCGGTTATTCTGGCCGTGATTAAGCAGTTCTTGTTGATCCGCGGTCTCAACGAAGTCCCTACTGGTGGAATAGGAGGTTTCTCTATCACTTGCTTGGTTACAAGTATTCTCCAGCATCTGCCTCAAGGTCATACGCAGCCAAACCTAGGAACAATCTTGCTTGACTTTTTGAATTTCTACGGGAAGCAATTCACTTATGATAAACTGGCAATCCGGATGGACCCTCCAGGCTATTTCAACAAGGTTAGTACATTTTGATTTGCATTCCTTGTTAACTAGCCAGCTGATCATGTCAAATAGTATTATTTTGGCAATCCCGATCGTCTCTCAATCGAAGATCCCAATAACCGAGACAACGACATCTCAGGTGGCACAAAGGAAATTGGGTTGATCTTCCGAGCCTTTTCTAATGCGCATACTGCCCTGAGGAATCGCATGGAATATCTTGCACTTGTCCAAGGATCTAACAAGAGCATCCTTGAACCCATCATTGCGGCGAACTTTGATGAATACATCGAACAACGTTTCCAACTCCGTCAAGTGTTCATGACAGAAGAGAGGTTTGCTCGTTACCGGGAGTCTCCGCCCCCGCCTCCGCCGCCGGGATCCCCTCCTACCAACAGAGCCTCCCCTCCTCCTCCCCCTCCTGTCGACGGATCCCGCTCTCCCCTACCAGCGCCCCCAGCGCCCCCAGCTCAAAGGCCTGCCAAGAAGCCCAAGACAAAGTCGAAGGGAACGAAGTCAGAGCCAGAAGATATTTCTTCCGATGAAGCGCCCGGACCCGACGCAAAATCTGCCAAAGCTCGGAAGGGTGAGACAAGACGTCAGTTGTGCCAAGAGCGTGCTGCCAGACTCAAACGCCTGAGGCCCGACCTTAAGAAACTCCCCAATACCCTCAGCCTCCGCCAAGCTCGTCGTCATGCAGGTTACGAGACCGATGAGCAGATGAATGCGGACTTGGATAGCAGAGAGCAGAAACTTCTCGCCTTGGCATAAATTTGAGTCTCCATTTCAACGCCCGCAACGACTTTCTTTTGGTTTCTGTTTGTATGCTTTATTTTTGTATGATGATACCCCTTACTTCGAACGGTTTGGTGATTTTCACGGGGAAGAGAAAGGGATGTGTGCAATAGTGGTATGGTGGGGTCGGTGATGTCTTCGCGTGTCCTTCGGCAAAACTGTGTGCTTCTCCCTCTGATGGCGAGAAGCGCAGCAAATGGCTGGTGGAAACTCGAGAATGAGCATTCTTCTTTTGAGCCTGAGACGAAAACAGTGACTTACTATTTAGGATTCTCTCCCGGACTTCGATTTCGCCAGAATATGTTGACTTGTCCCTGGGTTACGATTGGTTAGGGCTGTCTGAACGTTGAAGTCTGTTTTCGATCTTATTTGATTGAAAGCTAGTTTCAATGTCGATAAGCCTCAACAATCTCAAACCCTGGATGATCTTGTTTTCACCATCTGTTCGGGTCGATCCGGCGCCTCAACGTCTAATGCTTTCTCGGGTCCCTCTCGACGAGCACCTAGTTCTTGCAGTTCTTTAGTCCCTACATGGGACGCTGTTAGTGATTCCAATGAAACCCCCCCGATGATCGTGGATCCGTGCCCAACGTGGATCTACGTTTATTGGCGTTTATCTTTTTCGCTTTTCCCTTTGCCCTCTCCTTCCCATGCCTTCCTTCTCACCCAGAGAGCGCTACATGCGACTTCTGGGAGAGGACTGGAGCATCAGGAGCCTGGGCTTGGGACTACACGCCGAACTTGGCTTTCTGCTATCGGATGGTTGGCCCATCTCCAAGTGTTGCTGAGTCCCTTCTTACCTGCCCAGGAAATCTTTGTCTAACCCAGATCCATGGAAGTACATATAGGAGATGCGAGAAAACATTGGAAGGCGGCATAAGGGTTGTCCCTCGATATATTCATTCTGTCCTGTTTCTAGTTCTATGCAAGCTGCTTCTCCACGTCTGACGGTGGTGTCAGCATAGGATCCTCCTTGATAGCTGTATCAGATATAGAGAGATGCGGCTTCTGTCCTGCTCTCTCCTCGGCTTCGATTCTCTGCACAGCAGCGACATGCTCCTCAGATAACGAATTCACAAAGTCAGGTGACGGACTGGCCCAGGCATAATCAACCCACTCTGTACCTAAGATATCCCGAATTTCTCGTGCCAGTTGCAAGATATGAGCTCCGCGTGCATGAGACCAGGCACGGTCCGTAATAAGGTCCTCCTGGGGCGTGAGGATATTCGACGCCGTGGGAACATCACGCATCGGAACATCCAGGCTAGGAGTCGACTGTCCAGGTGATTTAAAGTTGGTGTCGAAGTATGAAGCGTCGTCATCCTCATTCCAATTTTCCAATCCATCGACGATACTGTGCCACACGCGCAAAGTCTCATCCAACTCAGCGATATTACTAA